TATATATATATATATATATATATATATATATATATATGTGTGTGTGTGTGTGTGTGTATGTGTGTGTGTGTGTGTGTTTTCTTGTTTTCCTTGTTCTTGCTGTTCTCATGTTTAATTTCTTTTCTCTCTTCCTGTATTCTGTTCCACCCTTTCCATTTTCCACACAACTGCGTTCAACAATTTTATAAGGGTTGTGCAAGATAGCGGTTTGTGTCCTTTCTCGCTTTGCACGAGAATCTTTCACATCCAACGATAGTCTCCTTTATCACTGTTTATCTGTCTAATAATCTTTCTCACCCTCTCCTTATCTATATCAGTTCTTCTCTAACTCCTGTCCCTCCCTCCCTACCTTCCTCTTTCTTCATCTCTCTCCTTCACTTTCTTGCATAGTCACTCCTACACTCGTGGGAGGAGGGGATAGAAAGGAGGAGGAGGAGGAGGAGGGCAAAGAAAGGAGGAGGAGGTAGATTGAAATTTGGAGAGGAGGAGGGCAGATAGAGGGAGATGAGGGCAAAAACAGAGGGAAGGAGAAGAGGGGGTTAGGGGAAGAAAGAGGAGGAGGGCACAGAGGGAGTCAAGGGAGAGAGAGAGAGAAGGAGAAGAGGAGGTCAAAGGAAGGGAGAGGAGTTGGATAGAAATAGGGAAAGGAGGAGGGAGCCGAAGGGGAAAACAGAGGGGGAGAGGAGGGGGTCAAAGGGAGACAGAGGAGGAGGGGGAGAGGAGGGGGTCAAAGGGAGACAGAGGAGGAGGGGGAGAGAGAGGGAGGCGAGGGGGAGAGAGCAGAGAGGAGAGGAGAAGAGCAGAGGGGGGTGGGGAGAGGAGGGGGATAGAAATAGGGAGAGGAGACTGATGTGGCACGTAATTTATCTCGTCACGTTGTTCTCGTGCCGCTTCCACGTGACCGATATTATGGTAAACGGATTGTTACGTTGTACACAAAGTTAAGGGGGGGGAGGAGGGAGAAGGGGTCTGCCTAAGGGGAAGGTTGAGGGGAGGAGGTCTTTCCCCTCTGATGAAATGGATTTAATGAGGCGTAATTACTATATTGCTCTTGTTAAAAACATTTGAATATTGTGTGCGTTCCAGCTACACATCGTAGCGGCAGTGACGCTCTGGTTATTCGGTATTATTTAATTTTCTTCTAATATTCAAACACGCACGAGTACGCACACTTTACACATATACGATATACTTGTATGCGTGAAATTATATGTGTGTGTGTGCGTGTGTGTGTGTGTGTATGTGTGTGTGTGTGTGTGTGTGTGTGTGTGTGTGTGTGTGTGTGTGTGTATGTTTGTATATATGTATGTAAATGTGTGTGTATATGTATGTATATATATATATATATATATATATATATATATATATATATATATACATATATATATATATATATATATATATATATATATATATATATATATATATATATATATGTTATGTATATTATATATATTTTATAAAAATATATATATATCCCATCATATAGTTCCTGTCCATCAAGGTTCTGTTATTCTCATACTTTTATTTTGTTTTACTTTGGTCGCCTTCGTCGTACTTGTAAAGCCTCTTGATCTCTCCACGGGCGAAAGAAAGGGGAGTTGACCGTGGTCATGGTCTGCCGCTCCCGTCCACACACGAGGCGTCACTTCTCATTTGTGTGCAGCGCGTGTTTGTGGCCTGGTCTTCCCGCTTCTCATCTCGCGCCTAGACAGGGGACGGCGGGGATGTGTAGTGATTATATAATTATTATGTTGTCAGTTGAAGGCGATTAGGCAATGAATTAAGCTCCTTTTGGTCGCTTCTCTCATTATTGTGCTTCACCTTCTTTTCATATCCCAATATCTCATCTCTTTTCCTCCTACTGTTATTGCTCCCCGTTATTCTCCGTCCTTTTCCTCCCTAACCCTCTTATTTCGTCGTCTTCTTCTCTCTCGTCCTCCGTGCCCGATCCTTCCTCTCTCTCCCTTCCTCCGTCCTCTCTCTCCCTTCCTCCGTCGTTCTTCTAGCCCTTCTCATATCCTTTTCCTTCTCCACTTGGACCGCCACCTGTTGCCCGACGTTCTGTTTAGCGGAACATTTGTGAGGAAATCACGCATCGCGTCTTCTCTGAGTACGCTGCATGGACAACTGAGGGATCATTGTTTACATCGTCTTTCTCGCTGTTTTGGTCTGCTCGTCCGAATCCCTTTCTTTTTTTTCTCTTTCTCTCCTCCCCTGTCTTTATCCCCTTTTCTTTTTCACTTCATCATTTCATCGTCGCCTCTCTCTTCCACAGTATCCAGTCATATCCTCCTTCCAGGATCATCCCTTTTCCCCTACCATTTCCTTTCCTCGTTCCCTTTTTCTTCAAAGTGAGGAGAACCAGAGAGGCGCAGACTCGTCTCGAGTGGCTCGAGGAGACTGGAGTTGAGAGAGAGATGAAGGTTAGCAAATAAAGGGACGTGATATAAATAGTACAGCATAAACAAAACAAAGAACTCAGCAAGTAAATGAAAGGAGGAAAAGACGGTGTAAATAAAAACAACATAACGAAAAACTGAATTATGAAATATGTGAATTAATGCCGAGAAACAGGCATGTAATGTTGCCAGGAGTATGTTAGCACGTTTATGCTACTCATGTGAATAATGTGTCCGCGGGTGGACGATGATGTAAGCAGGCGATGATGTAGCGGTGCGGTTGGCCACTATGATAAGGAGCCAATTCGCTGCTCTCAGACTATGGTGAAATCATGGCCCCGGGGTCAGCTTTAGAGGGCTCTTGAGATGGAGAGCCATAGAGAGCGGTTGGGTACTCTGTTTTCTCTTTCTTCTGTTATTTACATTTCTTTGACTCTTTTTCTCTTTTTTCACATTTTAGCGTCCTTCCTTTTTTTTTATTTCCCTCTTTCGTATAGTTTTTCTCTTGCCTTTCTTACATTTTAGCGTCTTATTTTGCATGGTCATGTTTTTTCGTATTCAGTGTCACGTATAGCATTGGCGGCACAACTGAAATAGAGTCAAGTCAGGTCAAGAGGCGGAAAGTGTAGTCAGTCCTAAAACGCTGCTGTCAGCATAGCGTCGTAAGTTGACCCTTGACTTAGCCATACCAGACTGCTTCTGAGGGTCATCCCTTGGCACTCGTTTGTAAGGATGCCAGTTGCGTGTGGCACATCTTTTTTACGCGAGGGAGACTTAGAGGGTTTCCTGCACTCTATTAGAGAAGGAAGGAGGAAGAGAGGAGGGGAGTGTGAAAGAGGAGCGGTAACCTTGTATCCCATCCCCTCCCTCCCCAGGCATGAGGAAGGTGCGAAAGCAGAGGGAGGGAAGGAGAAGAATGGGGAGGGAAGACGTGAAAGAGTCGGGAAGGAGAAGGAGGATGAGGGAAGGTGCAACAGGAGAAAGGAGAAGGTGTGGGACAGTGCGAAAAAGGAAGGAGGAAAGGGAAGGAGAAGGAAGGCGAGGGAGGAAAGGAAGGAGAAGGAGGGTGAGGGAAGATGCGAAAGCGGCGGGAACGAGGAGTAGGGTGTTGTTTATAGGATCCGTCGACGCCCCGAGGAGGGTTTTCCTCAGGCGTGTCTGACAGCTAGACACTCAGGTGCTAATGTTGGAGGAGCGGGTGATTAACGTGGCACTCTGGGACTATTTACCTGAGAATAGCTGGCACCGGTGGACAGGTAGATTTGGAAAGGGATTGTATTTTTTCTATTCCTTTTTCCCGTTTTAATCATCTTATTTTTGTAAGTTGTTTTAGCTGAATTGAAATTACGCTACGGAGAAGTGCAAACCCCACTCTTTACGCTCTCTTTGAACCCCTCGGCTTTGCTGGCATAAGTGGAGAGGACTTTATCGTATTTCTTTTAGCGAGTACGTACTTCCGGGGATTCTACTCTCCCCTCGCTCCTCTCATCTTCCCTCTCCTCTCACTCCCTTCTGCCATCTCTTTTATTCCCACGTTCTCCCGCAGTTCTCTCTCCTCTCCCTACCTTTTCCCCATCATCCCTCTTCTCCTCTCTCTTTTCTCCCGACTTTCACTCTGTTCTCTTGCCTATCCCCTCTTTCCTTTCCCAACCTTTCCTCTCTGTCATTTCTCCTTTCCCCACTATCTCCCCCTCTTCTCTCCCCATTTTCCCCTTCTTCCCTCCCCCCTCCTTCCTGACCCCCTTTCCGACAGCCGTTCTAAGGTGTCTGATGGTCAGTTCGTAAGGTTTGTAAGACACAAGGCGACGAGCCCATTCTGTAGGTTCGCTTATGGTGTCTCAGGTAGAGGAATGAACTTTCTCATTTGCTTGGTAAAAAATAACTTATATCACCATTAGATTACGTAAATTTGATTAAATTGCTTATGAGGTATTCTGAAGTTGAAATGCAAAGCCTCGTAGTTCTAATCAACAACAACGATTTTGCGTTCTATTATAGAATAACATTTATTTTTCAATGAGAGTAAACAGAAGCCCGATAACATCAGAGCGAGAGAGAGTGGGTGATAGGTGAGCTGTCAGATGTCACCACGTAATCTGAGAAAAAAATTACGTTCTCATGATGAGAGGAAGAGAGAGTGTGCGATGAAGTTGGAGAAGAGAAAGAGAGAGAAAGACGGGAGACCCAAAAGAGCCATAGTAAAATACAGAAAGTTGACTGACGTTTACTTTCGTGTTTGGTTTCAAGATCACAGTTATCTATGCCCCCCCCCACCATTCATCCCCCTCTCACATTTATTCGCTACCCGTCTTCTCACATGCCACACTTGCGTCATAGGGAGTGATGGCATCTGTGTTTTGAAATAATTAATTTTACTGATGGCATCTGTGTTTTGAAATAATTAATCTTACTGATGGGAGGTTTTATACCATAAGATGGTTGGCTTCATACAGATATGGATTGTGGTAATGTGATTAATATTATTGCCAGCTTGATGTTAAACATTATCTGTTGTTTTTTTATTATTATCATCATAATAGTTATTAACCGTTATCGTTTTTATGAGCTTTTATTAACATTTTGCTTCTCTATTTTCAG